AAGTTAATGTTAATTTTATATTATTAACCTATCTATATATCACATAAACCAGTATAGAAATCACATTGTGTAAAACTAAAAATACCTACAATGGTTGGAATGTTTATCGGATTTTTGTGTATGGAAAAATTTTTGTTAATGTGGCATCCATATCAGATAGATTTTGTTTGATACCATTAAAAAGCCTTTGTGGCTTTATGTGTATTTGATCTTGTTCGCCGACATAGGACGTTGAGTGTATACGTTTATTCACGCTAAAAGTTTGTTAGTTCTCTTAGGTTTGCAGAAACTTCAAAATGGTATGTTATTTTTAGTAAAAATATATGTATACATAATAATTTATATTTTGTGCTAAAAAAATGTGTGGGAGCAATTTTTTAAATATTAAATATATTCCAAAAATCATATATTTTGGTATAAATGTGTAAAATTAATGTTGGTATATGTATGTACAACGAAACTTGCCGGAAAATACTATAGTATTGTTGGGATAATAAGGCAAGACAGATAGACATAACCCAGTAGAAAACGGATCGATCCGTCATCGAAGACGTCTTCAAGACATGGATACATACATGAAGACCGATCGATCCAAATGTATGACGGTCTTTGAAGACACTTTCATACAAATTAGCCAAATGTCTTCAATGAATTTTTGTGTACCTGTCTCGAAGACCGTCTCGAAGACCATGTCTTGCATAACGGACGCATTCGACAGAAAGTTGTGCGCTCTTAGTGCAGTGCTCATATTAATTTTCACCCTTTTTTATTTCTACTCTTTTATTGCCTGCTCTTTAAATTTTAAAATGATTCAATTTCTTCTTTAAATAAGTAGAAAGAAAATTTGTTGTATTTTGTACTTTTATTTATTTTATATAATAATTTCTTAAATTACATTCAAAATTAAAAGTTTTAAAAGTAAATTATAAATTTTATTATAAATTATTATAAATTTTATTAAGATATTAAAAATAAACTAGTAAAAACTAGTAAACATAATGAAAATTAATTTAAATAATTAACTTAATATAACTTAGCATATCTAAAATTAACTAAAACTAATATAAAATAATTTATAGCATTTCGCTATCATCAATTGTTGAAGTTTTATATGTTTTCAAAAGCGTTGAAGAGGATTTTGGTACAATTAAACCTTCTGATCTTAAGAGTTCTAAAATATCATTACCACAATGCCTGTTAATCCTGTGTTTTTTTAATATAACAGCTAATTTTTCACAAGTGTTTTTAGTTTTTTTATTTTCAACATCCTTTGTTTTGTTTCTTAAACAACTTTCACTGGAATTATTGTCTTTAATATTAATATCAATATATTTTCCAGGAACTAAGTCAATATTTCATTTGTTTTGATTTAATTTCTTTTTTTTAATATTTCATAGTTTAATGATTTTGTTTCTTTATTCATTTTGATTTTTTTAATATTTATTTCACAAATGTTTATTTACTACACTTCAAAATTATTGCGTCACTTCATTTATAAAACATAGCGTCATCTGAGGCAAAATTCAAATACGTTGCTATGAACACTAAAAATGAGAGAGAAAGCAAAGAAAGAGTATTTACATTCATGTTTTGAGCAATTGTTTTGCAAATTTGCTTGAAAATGCGGACGCGGTATCAAAGACCGTCTTGAAGACAATGTCTTCGAAGACCACTTTTTCTACTGGGATTGTTTTGCAAATTTGCTTGAAAATGCGGACGCGGTATCAAAGACCGTCTTGAAGACAATGTCTTCGAAGACCACTTTTTCTACTGGGTTTGATTGCACGTATATGTGTGCGTTGCGATTATTGAGTAAAGTTGCTATAAATACATGTGAAAAATAATACACATGTATTGTCTTGTGAATCAGCAATACTTCATTATTTTGCAAGTACTCCATACATTTTGTGCATATTTACAAGAAAAAAGACAGCTTATTATGATTTAAAAACATTTCAGATATAATAACAAGGCTGCTATCTTAAGGGCATTTTTTTGTTTTTTTGTAGCATCGCTTGCACCCTTGCGATAATAGTTTTATTTAAAAATGAGCATTCTAATGAATATTTTATTAGGCGCTTTATAAATAGACACGCCCACGTTAATTATGTAGCATTGTTTAAATTTTAGGCTTTTTTCTTTCTTTATTTCATATTTTTTAAAAAATGATTTGGAATTTTTTTTTACGTTTTATCAGCGTTAATATTTGCCACACCCTATTTATTCCAACTACCATATTTTACACAAGTAGAGTTTAATAAGAGTTATATTGAATGCAAACTCCCATACTCTATAGTTATTAATTGCATATTTTTTTTTATGCCTACAGTAGGCCCAAATTACAAAATGAAAATGTTAGTGTTTATTTTTGTTGTAATTTATATATATATATGTATAATATATACGCATTTGTATAAATTTTTTCGAACATAACCAAAAACAACTTATTCGATTCGAAATAAAATAATCAATTAATATTTACTCATTAATAAAAATAAAATAAGATAAATTATTAATATAAGTGATGTATTAAATCTTTAGGCTTCCGGTGTTACTGTGCTAGATGTATGCAAGACTACATACGAAGAAATTAAAAAGGGCAAGAAACATCGATATGTAATTTTTTATATTCGTGACGAAAAACAAATTGATGTAGAGACTGTAGGTGATCGTAACGCCGAATATGACCAATTTCTTGATGATATTCAAAAATGTGGACCCGGAGAGTGTCGGTAAGTAATCATATATAGGTCGTGTGCGAGTTCGAGTAAATTGAGGAAAATAGTAAATTATGTCGGTATGGCGCGAATGTTGGTATTTACCAAAATTTCGATTAGGATAAATTATGTTACCATTGTGAAAATGTTAAAAGATGTTTAATAAATAAATTTGAAAACTTTAAATCAAAAATAATAAATAAATGCAATAAATAAATATTTATATAAGGGCAGTGCAAAAAATCCCTAAGAAATTGCAATTTACTCGAACTCGCACATGCCCATAAACTTTTTTTTTAATTTCTATGGATTTAAGATGAAAACTAAACGTTACTAAAAATTCTTAACAATTTCTTATATTATTAATTTATATATTTATTATTAATTCACAGTTTTATGCTCATTAATATTAATAATACAAGTAATATAAGTTAATAAGTAATTAATGTCATTGTAGAAGTAAATAGTTTGTTTTTATGTTTGCTTTTTTTATAATATTTGTAAAAATTGTATTACATTTGAAAAATTTCTCTTACAAACATCCTTGTTAAATCGGCAGAACACTTGGGTGTATAACTTTTTTAAAACCAAATATTTTTTTTATCATTGTTTGCAACCGCTTCTAGAAGTAAAATATATAATATATAACTAAAAGCATTTAATATATAACTAAAAATATATAATATATAACTAAAAGTATTTAATATATAACTAAAAATATATAATGTATAACTGAAAATATATAATATATAACTAAAAATATATAATTCAACATAAAAACAATAATACATTTGATAAAATTTAACGAATTTTAACTTTACAAAAGTTTTTGTTGCAAAATATTATGGCCTTAGTAGAATCGAGTATAATACAGCAATAAGAAAATGCATCAATCCTATCACGGTGGGGTATAGGAATAGAAATTGGAAATTGTGATGAGAAAGATAAGTAGAGAGTACTAGAAAAGGGTATATAGTGATTTAAGTCTAAATTTTAATGAGCTCTGCCACTTTAGTGGCACAAAACTACAGTTAAATTGAGTTAAGATTATTGTTTGACTTTTTTGTTGTAACTCGTAAGGATCAATAAAACACAAAACAAGTAAGGAATTACGAGACGAATATATGTGCACATATGAGAGGGATTAGGGAGTCAGAATGGTTTGGGGTTGGATGGGTTTCACGAACGGCGGGGCTACGCCTCGGAGCCATTTATCGAATTCGACAATCAAGTGCTATTCAGATCACTTAAAAGGGACTACAGAAGTATTATATAATTATTAAAGTAGTAACTTTACTTTAATACTTAGTTTTTAAAATTGTAGTAAATGTTCACATATATATGTATAAAGAATAGCATTTAAGTTTCGATACGTTCAATGTATCTGCCTTTAATTTATCACAATTAATATAAAACAAATTCTAAGAAATAGTAATAAAATAAAATTGAAATTGATATCTCCGATATATACATAAGCTGTGATTAAAAACACATGCCGTCATTGTTTTCAATGTAATAATAAAATAATAAATTTTATATGTATATGTGATTAAAATATAACAGCTGTTTATTTTTTCGTATGTAATTTATTTATAGCTATGGTCTGTTCGATTTTGAGTACATGCATCAGTGTCAAGGCACATCGGAAAGCTCTAAAAAACAAAAATTATTCTTGATGTCATGGTGTCCTGATTCTGCTAAAGTAAGAGAAATGTTTTTTGTTTTTAAATATTGTATTATAAAATTTAATGTAATTTATTTTTTTTAAAGGTTAAAAAGAAGATGTTGTATTCCAGTTCTTTTTTTGCTTTGAAGAAGTCCCTAGTCGGTGTTCAAAAGTACATTCAAGCTACTGATCTTTCTGAAGCTTCACGAGAAGCTGTGGAGGAAAAATTGCGGGCTACTGATCGTCAATAAGCATTTTGATAAAACTTTATCTTATTTGTTTTTTTATCTTTATTTATACATAATAGTATTTTCAATTTTTCATAACAATACATTGAAGAATAAAACTACTAGTAAACATTCTATTATCAAAATATGAGATAAATGGGTTATTTTATTTAAACATTGTTAGTCTTATATGTATATATATATATATGTATTGCACATTATAAGTACTTCAGAATTTTTCTTAAAATGATGTCGGTGAACGTTTATATTCGAGTGATGAAAAGGATAACAATGTTAAGATTGAATTCATACAAATGAATTAGTAAAATGCAGTTAAAATAAAATAATTTTATTTATAGAATTGTCTGAGCCATAATTTAGATATTTGTATAACATTATACCATAATTCAATTAACGTTCATACGGAGTTTAAATGTCATACTCTAAAACGCTATGCTCAACATTATTTGCAAATAGGTAAAATCATAATTAGCAAGTTCCTCATTTTTTATTTTTTTGAACAACTAAGGGATTTTCTATTTTAGCTAATCTTTCATGTAAACTTTTTTCTTCCTATTTGTGAATAGGTATCGAAAATTTTATTTCTTGTACTTCGTCCATCTGTGACTTCTTTACATCTTATATGTTACTAACCTCAGCTATTCCTGTTCGTCTTTTTGTGTACAGTGCAATGAATTTATATTTTTAGCAACAAATATTTCTCTTAGTTTTCATTTAATGAATAGATAATGTAGGTAGATGAAGTGAAAGGGGTTATGGCCATCTCAATACGCTTAAAAGTATTTTAAATTCCACATTTTTTGTAATTGTGGGATGGTGGCTTTGTGTCGTATAACCAACTGAATGGATTAATGAATACATGCAATTGGGTCATTTATAAATTGGACATTGGGAGTGAAATGATTAATAAATTAATAACATAATAGCATAATAGGTATTCAAGTATTTCTTTCCCTGACACCAGCGAATATGATATACATAAGTTGGAATGGAATTAGTCAATAAGCATGTAGAAATCTTTATTCCTACACGCAATATATTTTAACTGGCTCTTGTTAATAGTAAAATAAATTTATATTTTGCACAGATAGAAAATCTAACGGATCGCATCGGATTTTTAGCCGGATCGCGCTTGATCTTTTTTTTCTCTTGTACTACTGCTGGCTGTCCATCACATACAAAATATAAAAGTAGAAAAGATCAAAATACTTAAATTAAAATTTTTACTTAAAATCATTTCTTAATTCGCTATAAGATGCGTGATGTTTACAGATTTTTATTTAAACTTTGCACGAAACATACCGTCATAGCAAAAGTTAGCCTAAAAAAGAAAGAAAACAAGAGACAGTTTCGGGTTCAGTGGTATCTGTAATCGATAACACAACAAATGTTAAATATAGAACAAACCACAGGGTATTTGGCAATTAATAATTAACTTCTACAACATACCACGCATTTTGAACTTATCATATGCATACGACAATAAATATATTATAATTATAATAAATTAAAATTATAATAAATAAAATGTAAACATACATATATATATTTATAATAAATGTTTAATATATATACTATATTTTACTATATTATATTAATATTATATTAATTATATTAATTATATTATAATTATAATAAATTAAAATTATAATAAATAAAATGTAAACATACATATATATATTTATAATAAATGTTTAATATATATACTATATTTTACTATACTATATCATATATACTATATGATTTATAAAAAAGTTGTTATAATCAGATATATTATATATAAACAAAATAATGGCGAAAACACTAATAATAGGCTTTTTCGGTTGCTCGTAAGTATGGCAAAAAATGCATGCTCGACTATATTCGCTAACCGAGAAATTGGGATCACTGTTGCAATCTGTCAAGTGTTATGTTTTGGTAAATAGCAATTCTTGCATATGTGCATATAACGCAAACAAACAACATTTTTTATAAAAATAACATAAATTGAAAATGAAAATGAATACAAAATTAAAAGGAATGGTAAAAATATTGAAAATTACAAAATAAAAAACTGAAATTTTCCTTTTTTTTCCAATTATCAAATTTATGAAATTTGAATTTTTATTTACATGTAATTTTTGACACAAGATTGCAATATTCGTTGGAATTTCCAACTAATTTTGGTAACACTTTTTTTTTAATGGCCGATGTGCTTGGCCAGTATATCTATACTGGGCGATGTAGAGAAAATAGTGTTGTTGTTTTGCGTACATTTTAGCCTATATAGACCAGTAAGTTGCTGTTTTTTGCCATGCTTCCGAGACACCGAAAAGGCCTATAAACGCATAAGACCGTGCTTTATTCGCTTATCTTTACATAGGTTTCTTGAGAATATTGTTTAGAAAATATAATTAAAAAAATTTAATATTATAGTCAAAAATACTATAACTCAACTTTATCATCTCTGTGATTAATAGGTTTCAAATAATAATTTATATTCTCAACCAAATTTTATTACTCCCGAACAATATATTTTATTTCATAGCAGTAAAATTTGTAGGAAATAACAACCACAACCACAGTGGTGCTCCCCCAAGTACTTATATTATTCTTAAAGTTTATTACCTAGTACAATCTTTGGGCATTTAATTTTGGCAACATCCAAGTTGGAATACTGTTCCTGTTAACTAAGATCAAAGCAAAGCTGAAAGCTTTTAGCCTAGTTTTGCTTGTTTTTCGAATTAAAGTTATTTAAGGGTGTGGATAAGCAGCTTAATCGGCAGCTATAAAAAAAATCCAAATAGTCTTATAATGGAAGGCTAAACGCCTGATTGATTAACAAATTGCAAACAAACAGTTCATTTCAATTTGTTTAGTGAAACCTTATATAAAGTGTTTACTATATAAAGCCGTAGTAAACAAAAACAGAAAACGTTTTGGTAAATATTATCATCTGTATAGAAAGTTCCAGAGACATTCTTTGAACATATACGAAAAGTGTTGAAATTTTGTATAGCGCTAGAAAATCGATTTATAAAAATTTAGAAAACTATTGCATATATTTTCCACCTGGTTTGAATAAAAGTTTATTAAGTATCCTAGAACAAGCAACACAGCCTTTTTTATAAATCGCTAATAATATAATTATTACACTTTCCGATTTTAAAGAAAGGCATAAGTACTGTTAAGAACTGTTAACAATTATTATAAGATAATATAATAATAAGTTAACATTATTACAGCCTCTATGAGTTTTTTCTTGCTAGTTATTTTTTGTTGCAAAATGAAAGTGAGCATATCTATATTTCGTTTTAAATTTAGAGTAAAAATAAATATTTCGTTTTAAAAGTAGTAAAAATACAAAATTGGCAATACTGGTGTGACACTGCATAACATTCATTTTCGGCATAGCCCGAAAGAGCGAACTTTGAAGTGCCCGAGACTCTGCATAATATGGCCCTTAGACATCATTGAGTAAAAGAAAAAATTGCAGACACCCAATTCAATCTAGCGAGCACCACAGTCCGAGAGGCTTACCAAGCGTAGGTTTATAGTCAAGAGTAATACAAGCCAAATGATGTTTACAGAACATAACATTCCGAATTTTTGAAACAAATGAAGAATTTATAATCACTAAATGAAAAATAATATATATTACCATTTGTTTTCGTAAAAAACGCAATCGTTCCTAGGCCATTGCAATGGCCATACTAAGGCCATACTAAGCCAGGTTTTAAGAGAAACCAAAAATTTTTCAAACTATAATTAAATAAATATAAATAAACAATATTAGCGTTAGACATCTAAAATCAGATTTTCTTTTTTTTTTTAGTATAAATTAATTTTACAATATGTAATAACTACATATTAGTTGGCTCTTGCCAAGTAACATACTTTATCACAAAATTTAAACTAAAAACTCTGTTATAAGAATATAAACATAAACTTAGATAGTATGATTTAACTTATCAAAAATATGTAAAGTAATATTTCAAAAATTTTTTGTTAATATTTAAATTTGCTGTTTAAATCAAAATTTTTAATTGAAAATTCTTAAAGTCAAAAAAAAAACTTGCACATGAAAATCAAGCTGAAAATGAATTTATAATAAAACAATATTCTAGATTAACGTTAAGAACTTCATTGGACTGTTCAAGTAAAACAATTTTTAAATAAGCCGCTGTTATGTTTACTTTCTTAATAATATTGTTTCATTTAAATCTTTATAGCTGCCAAGTTGAGATACCTACCTCTTCAAAATAGCAAAATTTACCATTTGGCATAATAAAGTTAATTGAATTAATCAACAATAAAAATAGTTGTGTAATCATGATTTCGAATATCTACGAAAAATTGGGAATTGTAAGTATATTAAATAAGATTACAAATACATAAATGTTTACAATATATTAAAATAATATATATAACTTATATTAATTAATTTTTTAAGCTTGATTATGAGTTATACCACATTCACACTGTCCCATTTAGGCGGTTTTGCTCATCAAAGCATAAATTTCCAACAAGGGAAATGATGGAAATTTGATATATGTGTCATATGTTTTATAAGTAAGATGTAAACATGCCTTGAGGAAGTAAATATTTATTAAAATCTGAGGTTTTAATAAATTGGTATTACGACCGATATTTAATTAGTTTTTTATATATATACCGGGCTTAGGTCGTTTATTTAACACATAGGTTTATAAAAATGTTTTTTTTAAAACAATTAAAAAATTTTTACACTTTTTTCCAACTGTGTTAAATGTTTAAATTTATTTAATTTTTATACAAAAATTATATTAATACAAATATTTCGGTCTACTTCAACAACTCCCGTTGACCAAAAGACAGCATTAGCAACCCATTGCTCTATGATGAACCATACTCCAAATTTTGAAGAAGTACAGATCATCAACAAAGACCCTAATTACAGACGTAGGCTAATGCTTGAAATGTTACATATTATTGAAGTTCCAGACAATCAGAGACTAAACTACAAAAAAGACACAGAGGGTCTTGCACAAATTTACAGGTCTCTGATTAACCATAAATAAAAAATTTAATATAAATTTATAGTTTTATATAAAAAAAGTTTTTAATTTATCTTCCATTGTTACCAATTTAATTTTCGTATATTTATTTTTGATTTAA